ATACATTTTTAAAAGAACTTTTCCTCTAGAGGAAGTTGTTTAAGGAGAGGGTTGTATCCAATTGAATCTATTTGCATAGTATTCAACAAACAATTTGATATAAAGTAGGCAGTTCATACTTTTTATTTAGTGGAACTGAGTACTTCCATTACACACTGAATGGTTTCATTTTCCTATACATCCGGCATCACAGAATCCACTCCCCCAACTACAGTATGCAATTTAATATACTTTCTTATATCCACCCTTGAGTATACTTAAAATAATCTGCCCTTTATCTTTGTGGTTTTCTTCCAGTCATCACTATTTATATCCACTCCTTCAAATCTGTGGTTATGTTTATGGTAGTATCACAAGAGAACCAAACCAAGAAGCACTCTCAATAGGGTATTTCCTGAGAGAGAGCAATGGTCACAATATTGAGAGGAAGATGCCTTTAGCAGTGATGCAAGGTCAAATGAGGAGTCCAACATCTTTACCTTGAACTGCACTGTGCTGTTTTCCCCCTTTCTTTTCCTAGTTTTACCTTTTGGAGGGGAAGCCAAAAGGTTGTATTCATTGTACATAAATAACATAAACTCATAGTAGAGGGAGAAAGGGGAAATTATAGATAGCATGGTTTAACTTGCCAAATAAAAAAAAATAGTCAGAAAATAAAATATGCCTGTGTTCTTGGGAAGAGCTTATAATGTGTGTAAGCATGGACTCCAAAGCTAGACAGCCTCGGTAAGCCTGGTAGTAGCTCTCCCACGTAGTAGCTGTTTATTTAACCTCTCTGAGCCCAGTTCCCTCACCTGTAAGATGGGATGAATAATAACACCTCATTGGAACACTGTGACAATTAAACGAGTTAATGTATGTAACATGCTTAAAATCTATAAAGTGCTAAGTGTTAGCTAAAACATTATTCTTGGTAAAAAAAAAAACAACACACATACACACACACACACACACACACACACACACAAACACAATACTATATTGCAAATAGTTAAATAGCCAGAGAATTTTTTACTGGTAAGGCTTTCAAAATGCTGAATGAGAGTATTTAAACCTAATGTGACTATCAAAGATTGGTGTTTATTTCACAGCTATTAGAAGACACCTGATTCTTGCTGATTTAACTCCCCATAAAGTAACACAATCACATAAACAAGTAGACATATTTCAGTACCATGAACTTTTATGATGTACAATAACTTCCTAGAGAAAGAAAAGTACTTAAACAGGATCAGAGCTGTCTTTAAAGATAAGAGAATGTGTGATGACACTTTTTTGTGGTGGAATCTGGTTAAAGTGAATGGCACTATCATTCTTGAAGGTGGAGAGGAAGGGAGGGCACAGAAACGTGGCATCCACCCCAGCGGCCATGTTGTCAGGGTGAGGGTGGCTTTACTGGCAGCTAAGCGCCCCGTCGCCCTGCCAACTAGCTGATTCTCCGTATTGAAGTTCCTAAAAGCCTTATTTGTGTGTGTCTGCTGCTTAAGCTTCAGCCAAAGATGCTATGCTGCCTTCTTGCTTCTCATCCGTGAAACCACGGATTCCCAGTGATCCAGACCTCAGGCTGAGAGGCCAGATAAATTATCCTGAGTTTCAAATTCTGGAACAGGATGCACCAGGGAACTACTGAATGATCAAAACAACAACATGAATGGGACTGAATTAGAAATTGGTGTGGTCCCATTAGGAAACTATAGTCTCTATGAAATATATTCATCTATAATATTTCCAGTACTTTAAGGAATACTGAAATCCAATCCAAGCAAAGCAAAAAAAAAATAGAAAGAAAAAAAACCCACAGTGATTTATTATGGTGGAAGTCTTCAAACTATATTGTAACTCTGGAAAAAAAAACACTTTTTATTAGAAATAGTATAACATCTAACTTTCCTGTTAATTGTAAATGTTACTTTAAAATTATTCTTATATTTACATGTTTTCCACCCCTCAAATTAAATTGTAAGTATCTCAAAATCAGAGTTCTGGAAAAAAAAACAAAAACAAAAATACCATATCTTTTACTCCCTACTGAAATCAAGATACTTAGAATTCAAAGATGTTGGGAGTGAATCTTGTGTATGCCTATTAAGCAGATGACAATTATAAAGCAAAGGACTGAAGCCAAACTATTAGAAGACTGAACCGGTCAAAAAGTGAGTGTAGGCACAATAGACCTTGAGAAACCTACCATTGTATTGTGCTGGGAAGTGGGAGTCCTATGGCCACAAGTCTCTGGCGTCAGCAGAGAAACTGGCTGAAATTCCTCAGAGTGAGGCTTGTGGGGAAAACTCACATGCAAGGGAAGGTGAAAGGCTGGGAGCCCCTCACTCTCCTCTTCTTCCACTTTCTGTCTGCTTGTCACCATGGCTACCTCTCCATCTGCTTCCCCATACGGAGAGGCTGGTCGCTTGGAAGACATCCTGGAAGGAACAAAAGAGGAGAAAATAATGAAACCTCCACATAAATCCTTAATGCTGTCATTGTGTGGTTAGGGGCCATTGTAACAGAAATGCCTTTTTGTGCTGGCAGAGAGCAGGAAACCATCCAAATACCACTGCAAAGCACACACAGTCAGAAACAATGGCCAAGCAGGTAGCAACAGAACAGTGCTTGTTTGTTGTGAGAATAATACACTAATAGAGCTCTCCCTTGTATTCTGGCTTCTTAAACAAGAGAATTCACCTAAGAATACTGCATAATGAAAGACCATTCCATTTTAAAGAAAAATACCCATCTAGTTTTACACTCTGATAGACCTTATTGAAAACAGAACGTCTATGTTTATGAATAGCAAAATAGCAAATAGGATTGGGAGTTAAAAGAAGAGAAATAGCTAAAATTTAGTTCATAAAAATAAACAAAATAAATAAATGATTGCCATTATAAAATGTGCATTTTATTAAAAGATCATGGTGAAATATAGAGATATTGGTTATTTGTAAACCTCAGAACACATGACAAAAAGTTTGACATTTGTTTAAAGCTTAAGAATTGAATAAATTTTAAAATCACTATGAATCTTGAAACAATGGAGAATTTTCCTTTCCCCAACTGCTAAATCCCCCAACGTAGGCATTTATTTCTAATATTCAATTTGCAAACTAGCAAAAGAGATGAGGATATAAAAATATTTCAATTTTATTTCCAAAATTCTATGTAAGATTTAGATATGGTTATCAGAATAATTAACTCCCTAGATACGTAAGTAAAAGGAAAACAAATCAAATATGGATGTTTTGTTTGACTAAGCTGATGTCTATTTGACAATGCACTTAGATAAATTAAACATTTTTTTGTACGTTTAAAAAATGTTTTGGGGAACATCTAATGGGGAACATAATCCGAGGTTAAAAATATGTGCAGATATTTTTAGTTGAATAGAGTTCTTTTTTCTTTCATTAAAAGTTTTAGTACAAAACTCTATTTATCACTTGGTATGACCTTGAAAAAGCTGTATGTTTTGTTCAACAAGGAGTGTTTACAGAAACATCTATTCTTATCCAAACTAGTGGGATAGGAGGCAGGGTATTAACTACTGGCAACACCACTTCCTTCATATATATCACTGGTTTTTAAATTTAAAATATAATACTAAAGAGATGCCACTATTCTTTCTTGAATAATACTCTTCTTAGTGTTAAAGGTTTCAAAAGAAAAGTATTCGAGTACTGCAGACCTTCTATTAAGAGATAATAGCACCATAGAAAAAAATAAGGGCTTTGGAAACAGACAAACACTGATTAAAAAACTGATTCCAAATATTTACAAACTGTAAGACTTTAATCACGCCACCTCAATTTGCTCATCTCTAAAGTAAGATGTAATATCAAAAGTTGTAATGCTTTTTTGAGAATGAACTGTGTATCATATGAAAAATCACTTATAGATCATTTAGCACAGACACTCAAAAAACAATAGCTGTTGTTTATTTTAAAAACTTCAGAACTACAGTATGACCTACACCCTTCTCAAAAACAAAACCATACAACTCCCAAATGAGGAAAGCAGATTGCCTTCTAAGAGTTAAACTGTAAAATCAACATTAAATACAAAGGCTCCTAAAAGAGAAATGGTCCATGGCCAGTTATCCTTGACAATAACACTGCATTCACAAGCATTAAAGAAGATATGTGAATAGCTGGGGGTCTTGATCAGCTGAAGAACAGAGTTGAGGAAATGTGGGTGGCTACCACGTAAGCGCCGTCTGAAGTAGACTGAGCCAAGACAGTTCAGGCATCTTGAACTATTCCTGATCTCATTACCAAGGTCTACTTCAAGTAGACTGGATCCTCTAAGTATGGAGAAAGGAAATAAGGGGCTAGAGTTCACAGAATTAGAATAGGCTTAGTCTCACTGGCAACACTGTAACTATTGCCAAACTGGTATATTAAACTACACATAATAACTCTACACATTAGGGACATTTAACTTCCACTGTTCCGGTTCCATTCTCTACAAGCAACATTCTGATTCCCATATTAAAAATGGGCTGACAGAACATATTTAAAATATTTTAAGGTCTTTGTGATTTATCAGAATAAATCAATACGGGAATTTTTAATTATTTCTTGGTTTCACATGCAGTTAGACATCAAGGATATTAGGCATTTATTATACTAGTACAAACCATAGTATTTTTGGTTTGTGTGGGCATTATCATTCTTGTTGGGATTACTAAGTTGGTTTCTGGTATCTATCTCCCTCTTAGGTCCAGTCTCCTACTGTCTAAATCCTCCAGACTATTGGCAAGAGCCAGCCTCCAGGTTATCAAAGCAGAAAGCTGGATTAACTGGCCTTTTCTAAGTTAATACACAACTCTATCACTTTCAGAAAGAATGACCCAAAAGGTAAGTCATTCTTTAATATAATTATTAACAATGATTATGAAAAGTGAAAGTCCAAAAGTAGACACTAGGCAGTTATCACTACTCTTCTCAAAACTTTTATTCATTTCAGTATCTAATTTATCTTTATGTACAGCTGGATAATCATTATATACAAATATTTATATCTATTTAAATATATTTAAAAATTCTATATAAATAGATATTCCTATGAAGCAAAAATTAGAAGGACTAAAACAATAAACATGAAGGAGTCATGGTGGCAGAAGGCAACTGATCCTGAAATACAACATATTTCATGTTTATTTCAATTCCATTTTCAGAGACTTATAGAATGTTCTTAATGTATTGGACTTGAGAGTATTTTAATACAATTCAGGTAAAAAGAATTCTTAAAGATTTTTCAATACAATAAAATGACTATAGTTATAGTTCAATAATAGGCTACTAAGTCAGAAAAATAAAATAAATAACAAATTATGTACAGAGATATCAATCTGTCAGCCACATTATTCAGGTTTAATCTGACTTATATTAGTTCTAAACAATATTGATAATAAAATTCCCAATAACTTTAGATTCCTAATTTGTTATCTACTAAAGTGTTTTAATTTTGGACAGAGAAAAGCCTCATTAATTTCTAAAAGCCTTAAGAAAGGAGCGGAAAATTCCATCCATTATCTACCCTGCAGCTTAAGCCACATGGCTGTGTTGCAGGGGAAGGATACTTGGGGTATGCTCTGATATATATCCAGTCAGAGATGATTTCTGCGATTCCTAGGTGCTAGACTTACCAATGCACACAATTCAGACTTCAAAGAAAATGACATAAGACAAATAATAATAATAATCCAAGTGAAACTAACTGGTGGAGCTATGATGACATAATAATAACCTTTCACTCAGCTTTGTGTGTGGACAAGAAAATCTTTTTTAAGTATATGTTTTTATTTATTTCAGAGAGGAAGGGAGGGGGACAGCGAGAGATAGAAATATCAATGATAAGAGAGAATCATTGATTGGCTGCTTCCTGCATGCCCCACACTGGGAATTGAGCCTCCAATCTGGGCATATGCCCTGACCGGGAATTGAACCGTGGTATTGACCTCCTGGCTCATAGGTCCATGTTCAACCACTGAGCCATGCCAGCCGGGCAAGAAAACCTTCTTGAAAGAATTGATGTTTAATTCCAGAACTAAAGGGAATTGGAAATCATTAATAATTTACTGACCATTTCCTATGTGCAAAATATTTATCTAATAGGAATTAAAACATGTAATTCGGGTTCTTTACTTTAAAAAGTTTATGAATTTGTTGAGAAGATTTTAAATAAAGGGAGAAAAGTAATGAAAGACAGTCCTAGTTAAGGATAAAATGGCATTATAGCCAAGCACCTGAGGGCTTCCTGAGGACGAGAGATCCTGGAATGCTTCAGGGAATGGCTGAGATAAATGGAGAGGAAATTTCATGTAGGAATTAATGATCAAAGCAAAGATGCAGAGATGCTTTTAGAAAGCGCGACATAAATTTAAGTTTCAGTCTTACTTTCATAAAAGGGCAGATGGAGGAATATGGACCAAATTCCACGTTACATGAATGGAATAGATAAGAAATAGTCAGGTCATGGTTCCATTCCTGGTCAGGGCACATGCCTGGGTTCTATCCCCAGTAGGGGGCGTGCAAGAGATAGCCAACCAATGATTCTCATCATTGATGTTTCTATCTCTCTCTCACTCTCCCTTGCTCTCTCTGAAATCAAAAACACCATATTTAAAATAAAAATAAAAAGAAATAGCCTCCCTTGCAAGGAACAACTTGCTTTTACAAGGAGTCGCTGTTCCTTTACTTGTCCTGTAGCAATGTGCACAATCAGGCTATTCTAATACATATCGGCAAGTAATTTTAAAACTTCTGGAGTCCTCTGCTATTGGCCAAAGGTTCTGTAAGTGCACTATAATCATTCTGTTGGAAGGAGGTCCCCAATGTATGCAGACACATGTAGCAACCTTAGAGTAGGGTACAGGGTGTGAGACTGCAACAGAAAACTCATGCACCTTGGGATTATACAGAGAGGTTTAAAAATAGTGCTACCTGGGTTACACTCACTAACATTCTGATATTATTGTTTTTTGAGCACACACGGGGTATCAGAATTTTTCACAGCTTCCAAGTGATCTAATGCTCAGTCAAGTTTACAAGTCCTTTTTTACCTTAGTCAGAATAATGCCTCTCACCTAGGATTTCCAAATCCTAATCCGGGAAGTCTGTGAATATGTTACCTTACTAAGCAAAGAGAGGCTTTGCAGATGTGACTAATTTAAGAATTCTGAGATAAGGAGATTATTCTGGATATTCTGGGTGGGCCCAAAGTAGTCATAAAGGTCTTTTTGCAGGAGGGCAAGGCAGGAAGGTCACAGCCAGAGACAGAGATGAAAAGATATAAGATATGATACAGCTGGCTCTGAACATAGATGGTGGGCCATACTAACCAATGTCACCCCAATACATCTAATTAGAAAAAAAATAAAATAGATGATGGGGCCATGAACCAAAGAATGCAGGCAGCCTCTGGCAGT